GGGTGGTGTGCGTGTGCTCCCAGTGTGGTCTCGGTGAAGGCAAATAACAAACTCGGTGGCGGTTCTCTGTTCACAAATACAAATGCTGCTGAGATACACTGAAAAAGCCCACAAGCAACAAGAAATCTAGAGCCTAGGTTGTCAGAGAAGGGGAACCTGAGCATGGGATCGTGTGGGTGTGTTTAAAGAAAGCTGCAGTAGCATCCTTTCTACTGTCAGAGAATTGTGGCGACGCAGGTTGGAAGGCATCTCTGCCTGTCTTTGCTGGCGCACGCTGGGATTTTTATTGACAAGCTCTCATCGTGAGCACAGCGGTAGAAGCGAGGAAGGCTGCTACCCTTTGCAGTTCTCCGTTCCATCAGTGCATAGTTCCGGACGGAAGGTGACAGGCCTTTTGCCATTTCCCACTGGTCCCAGCTAAGGACTCTCATGCAGCAACAAATGTACGGTGCGAATCGTCCAGCATCCCACGTCATCGTGCTGCTAGCGGCTGGGTAGGAGTGAGCGACTCTTGGAAATCTTTTTAAGTGCTGGATGCTGGAGGAGAATTTCTGCGGTGTAACACATCGGGGTCACAGAACTCTCTTTTTTTCACAGCAAGTAATTTTGAAGCATCCCACACCGTGTCTTAATTGGGCTCTTTTTTTTCTTTTCATACCTCAGATGAACTGTGTTATGGTGGAGTAACCTAGGGTAAAATCAATGACTGATATGGTACAATCCTTCTTTAAAAAGAGAAAAAAAAACACTTCAGAAGCGTGAGAGAAGGGAAAAAAAAATCAACTTCCCATAGTTTACAGAAACAACCCCCCAAACGAAGTGCCAAACAGCGTCAGCCCTGCCCTCTAGTGCTGCCAGCGAGTAAGAGGTGGTTGTGTGGTTCACAGCGATGTTGTCCAAGGCGGCGCTCAGCTGGGTATTTTTTAAGGCATAGTAGAGTGTGTTTTCTTCTGTTTGTTTTTTTCAGAGTGGTGGCGGTGTTTATAGTGTTTATAGTGTTTTCATAGGATTTTGCTGCAAGACAACCGAAATCAACATCAAGCCTTGGTGGATGATGGGCTCTATAAAAAAACCTGAAGTATCTCAAGCACCTAAGATAATCATTATGATAAAAATTTAAATAAGCTGCAAAAGGCTAAGAGTGTTTATGTGATTTATGATTAACTGAAGCTTCCCCTCCACAGTATCGAAGGCGAGTATGTTCCCGTGGCAGGCGACGAGGTCACCTACAAGATGTGCACCATCCCCCCGAAGAACGAGAAGCTTCAGGCGGTGGAGGTGGTGATTACCCATCTAGCTCCGGGAACCAAGCACGAGACCTGGTCGGGGCACGTCATCAGCTCCTGAGGCGTCCCGGAGGGAGCGCGGCCGCTGCCTGCGTGGTCACTGCTCAACAACTGGCTGCAGGGGACCTGTCCTGAGAATATTCTACCTATTGTGTGGGAGGAAATACTGCCTGGTCAATAAAGCAGAAGTAGGCCAAAATTACCATTTTTACAGCTGGCCTAAAAAAAAAAAAAAAAAAAAAAGGCGATGCTAATGGAAAAAATCTATTGTAATATGTTTACAAAAACCATGTTTTAAAGACACCTAGTTTGTGTGCTTGGTGGAAGGGGGGAGGTTTGGTTTTTCTTTTATCTTGTGAACTGATTCCAGTAAAAGCCCAGGGGAATCGGGGAGGGGTTTGAAGGGGAGCTCTTCTAGCGCAGGCGGCCATAGCAGAGGCACGGCTCCGGGGCCCTCTGTTCCCTCCAGCTGCTCTCCTGTAAGGGCCGGAGTCCGCTTATTGCTGATGGCGGTGCCTGAGCGCCTTGGCCTGGGAGGGGCGGTCATTGCTGCGATTTGTTTGCCTCGTGGAAGGAAGTTCACAAACAGAGCGGCTGCCGCAGGGTGGAAAATCTCCATCTGGTGGTTACGCTCCGATGGCCTCGGCTGGGTGCCCTTCAGGTGCACCCTCTGCGAGCGGCAGGTCTGCCGGCCTGCGGAATATTGCGGTTTTACGGCCTGGATTGTCTGTGAATTTACTTAGGTGCCTTGATGGTTGATTAGCAACAGATTTTATTGGTCAGTATTAAAAGAAACAAAAAAAACCAACCCAAAATTTAAAAAAATTTGCTTCGAGGTAAGTGGTAGAAAGCTGTAGAGTAGCGGATACTTCATAGCCTCTGATTGTGCCCGAAGTTAGACAACGCTGAAGGTTGCCGCCTTGATTGCATGGAGTTGAATGTCTGCCACGGTATTTCACTGGGCAGGCAGACTAACCCTACTTCTGGAAGGCAAGTTACACGCTCTTCAGATGGCCGTGTATAAAATACTGTGCGAGTTACGTACTTAATACGTAGGCTCAGCTGTCTCGGTGAAGTAGATTGTGCAGCCGCTTCCCTGGAAAACTTGCTTGGTGGGATGGGATGCGGTCACCCTTGCCCTGACTCCCCTCTGCCTGCAAGAGTTCACGTAGTTGTGCGCCGAAGTTAGTTCTGTTCCTGTTTGCCTTCCACCTCTTTTTTTCAAATGAAGCATTTTTCTCTATTATGTTCCTAACAGTGGATTTTTATTGACTTTGCAAATAAAAAAAAATAAAATAAAAAAGGCACGATACTCTTGTTTGTTAGTTGTGTGAAACAGCGTCACGGCCGTTGCCTGTTGGCAGTTTTGGCAATAGGCGCTCGCTGTTGGATCATGACCAGCCTGTAGCGGGGTTTTGGGGTTTGGTTTGGTTTTTTATTAACCCTAAGACTTAGTAGTTCTGGTTTTAACGCTGTCCAGCTTGTTGGAATATCACACGCCGCTTCCTTTACAATAAATGCGACCATTACGATGCTTGAACAGGTGTCTTCCGTCTGCTCTCTGCGTAGCTGGCGTTGAAGATGATTCGCAGTAAAGACAGGAGTGTGCAGGTGCCTGCATGCGCACGCCTCTGTGGTGAGATCTAAAAGTTTTTTAAAAAGCGTTGTAATATCAACTGACTGGCATTACCAGAACAGTCAGGGAGTAATGTAGCGAGTTTTCTGGCTCGTTCATTGGTGCAGAATATATACTCCTGCTGTTAATACATTCATTTTCATTATACAACATTTAGTATTGGCAGTTATCTATATTGCGGTACAGCAGGGGTGACGGGGCGGGATAGCGCAGCCTGGTCGCTTCACCCGGGCGGTGGGGCAGGCCGGCCGGCGCGCTCCGGAGGGGCTCCGCGGGCAGGGCGGCCCAGAAACGCTGCGGCCAAGCCGTGGCCAGGCTGCGGGGCCCCGGGGGAGCTGGCGGCGGCGGGGAGGGCTGTGCCCGCCCCCTCCCTTCCGCCTCGCGCCGCAGCAAGCACAATGATCGAAGCAAGGGCCCAGGCGCTGCGCGTTGCTCTGCTTGCCGTTTGCTCTCCCCTCAGAGAGACAGGACGTCGGCACGAGAGGCAGGAGAGAGAGCTTAGCTGTGGGCGACGGCCGCGCAAGGCTGACCAGCAAGCCGTTAGGATTTGAACGTACGCAGGTACGCGCGCACTGGTGATTGTATTTGAGGCTGGAAACAAACCGGGGTTCGGTCCTGCGCAGGATGTTTTGCACAGGTAACTTTCTGCAAATACAGGGAACCACCGTGCGTTAAGTGACCACGTAATCGGATACGCGGCCCGCGCGTACGTGCGGAGCAGCAGCTAGTAAAATCCGGCCGTCTTTGAAGAGCCTTCCTGCGCTGCGGAGGGCTCTGGTGCAAAGCCTGCTCCCGCTGACGCGGCTGAGGCGGAACGGCCCTACGGCAGCGGGCGTTGGAAGACGAGGTCGTTCTGATGCGCGAGGGCATCACAGCTCCCCTCCCTTTCTTTGTAAGCCCTTCTGGGGATTTTGGTTTGTCCACAAAGATTGTGTTCTCCCCTTTTTACTGTGTCAGTATCACGTAAACTTGGAATCGGCAAGCCTCAAGTCACTCATTTCTTTGTACAGACAGGCAGCGTACAACAGGTCTGCTTTACATATTTTATTTGCCAAAATGACAAATTGAAATAGTAATTTTTCATGATAAAAATGAGATTTTATTCTCCTTTACTAAATTAAACTGTTCGTACGCAATATTACTTTCCTAATGCCAGATGAGAAAAGTAATATTACCAGTTACACTGACTGTCATGCTTCAACTTGAATTTTAACAGAAACATAGTTTAGGTCATTTTTCTTAGTTCTAAAATCTCTTACCATTATCCTCTTAATGTCTTACCAGGAAAATCAGAAATGTAATTAGTGACAGAAATACATTTTGCTACTATGCTCAAGTTGTTTTAATTAAGTAAGTTTTATGAATTTTTTTTTATTTTTTAGATTTAAAAACAGTCTGCACAAAGCGTAGGTACCGTGAGCTGTACCGTGCATTGGCACCGCGGCTGCAGGGAGGAGGGTGACCTCCAGCACCAGTTGGCCCAGCCGTTCCAGGGGCGGTAGACTCGACGCACCGGCTGACCACGAGAGCGGGGACTTCTGGCTCAGCTCTGCCTTCCCACCCCCAGCAAGAAATAAACCCCCTCTCTTTCCCCCATCTTCCAGTTTTGAACAGGAAAATCCCAACTGTCTTAGAATTTGTGTCTTTGTACCACAAGGTAGGAGTTTAAAAAAACAACTCTGAAACGTTCATCTTTTAAATAGCAGCTTCAAAATAAAAACTAGGGATAAAGCCTTGCAGGCCAATTTTGAGACCATAAATCAACCACAGGCAGATTATTCCCCCCCAAAGGTAACGAATGAGCTAAGGAAGTTTACTGATGACTTAAAAAACGACAACAAAAAACAACAAAAAAGTTAAAAAACCCCCAACCCAAACCCCACAACCAACCAAAAAGAAAACAAAGTACTTGTGTGAACAGAACGAGCAAAGGATGGGGCTGAATGCGCTCTGCGGTACTCCGCCAGGCAGCAAGGTTCCCCAGTTACACCACCTCCCGTCGGCAATGCCTGACCCGCAAAGCCCTCGCTGTTCATCCCCAGTTACGAAAACCAATACAGAATGGACGAAGATGCTCTGAGTTATGAAGCCGCCTTAATCGTTTTGTAAGTGTGAACTCTAAAAGTCTTTCATTTAAAAAACAGCTCTTCGCAGATTCTTCTTGTATCCTGCGGGGATGTGACGCTGTGGCCTTCTGTTCTGGAGTCTGTGAAAATTTCGTAGTCATTCCCTCCCTGAAAACAGAAAACAGCACAAGAGGATTTAACCTTATTTAACTTAACACATAGTCACAGTCTTGGGGTGGAAAAGGGACACATACTGGGAATTATGGAAAGAAGGGACGTAACGTATTCATGTCTCGGATGTCTTCAGAAAGCTAAAAAACGGCAATCCACCGTTGTGAGATTTTGCGTAATGTGTTTATAGCGCACCTGGGCTGAAGCTTCTGCGGACCACCGGGCACTCGGGTGAGAGCTCCCTGACCCGCACGTTCGCACGGGTAAGGACAGAGCAGAAGGCTCAGCATACGCTCAGCCCTGGGTTTAGTGTGGTATAGCAGCCCAGTACTGGCTTTTTAACCTTGCAGACTTGCTAATATTAAGGCGTAAAGCTTGTTACAGAACACGGTACCAGCACACGGTATTTGTGACTTACTGGCATTATCCCAACTTGGTTTCCTTTCCTTTTAGTTAAATCATCGTTAAGACCCTTCGCTATTGCCATAGTGTTTTGGCCTTGCTAGCTACCGGCCTGATGAGACGTTTGCAACGGGTTTCTCGTCAGAGGAGAGCGATGAAAAGATCCTTTCACAGCTGGCTCGGGGAACAACGGCGCTGCCACCTGCACGAGCAGAGATCCCCGAAAGCCGCAGCTTCGCGCGCCACAGGAAGCAGTGCCTCATTTTTGTACGTCGTTTGCCACGCTGCTCTCCAGTGGGCCAGCAGCCACTCCTGCTACTTCAAAACTCTGGAAATGCTGCACTGCCAATTACGGGGTTTCAAATCAACTGTCCCTCAAGTCTGTGCCAGAGGGACAGGTGGCGATTGCTCTCGCAGCTGGTGTCAAGGGGGGGGGAAAAAACCCCCTTTCATTTAAAGCTTGTCTTCTTACAAAACTTGGCCTTTTTAAGTTTATAAAACTATAAAGCTCTTTGTAACTTGTAGTTATGAAACTGTAAGTTTTTAGAAAACTAAGCCTTTTCTGACAAAACTTAGCCTGACACTGTCCCTTGGCCACGTCAGCCTTAATTTCATCCAAGCCCTTGCGCGTGCCGTTGCCCTGGCTAGCTCCGGTCAGGTCTCTGCTCAGTCACCCTGCAGTTGTTCAGCTCTCTCCAATGACAGGGACAGGGATTACAGGTAATTTCAGTTCCTCAGCGTGGAGCCAGACAGAGTGGGTAGCAAAGGAACAGTATTAAATTCAACAGAAAATAAATAAGTTTAATAATCACCAGCCAACAAGCAGCATCCATCTCCAATAACCAAACAGGATAAGGAGTTCTATAGAGCCACGTCACCTAGGTTTTTAACGTAATTACAGAAGTTCAATTTAAAAACATATTCCCGTATGAAGTCTGTCAAGAACACTGTGTTCACCTCAGGAAACAGGGGAAGAATCCCTGCTCAGGGCTACCTCCCAGCGTTACGCTGAGCGGTAGCGCACAGCCAGTCACACGTGGACGTGTGCTCACATTTACGTTCCGACCTCAGTTCTTGTCAGGCATATGGCAATTGCTTAGAACCGAGAATGCTTGGGGTTTAAAACAGCAGCTCCGAAATGTCTGTGCAGAGCAATATACTCACTGGCATAGTCTTGTCTCCAAAGAAATAAATAGTCTTGTATCCATCGTCGGCAATGATTCCTAAGCAGTACCTCTTATCCCAGCCATCTGGGAACACATCGAAGCTTATCTGGCCTCCTAGGACAGACACGAACCAAGCAAACTTGCTTTTATTAAAAGAACAGGTTTCTGAGGGCAGAGTAAGTGAGGAAAAACTAAACTGGGTAAGATTTTTAGTAGAGGGAGCTTTGCAGAAGGCACATATGTGTTATGAGACCCTGGAGTTAAGTCTCACAAGTGCAGAAAGTGGTTTTTAGGGTATCAGTTATTACAGTTGTGGTTTACAGATTATTATTTACCCATTAAACAAATATGAAAGTCTCAGCCTGTTCCCAAACACTGACTGCTCTCAAACAAACGGAACTTTTTAAAAATTCCATTTAATCTTTTTACTTTTAGAAAGAAACTACATGAACGAATACAGCCATCGGTGTACGTACGGCCATAAAGGCGTAAGCGAAAGCCCTTCTAACGCTTTCAGAATAGAAAAAGGAGGCAATCAGCCTTTTTAACACAGCCTAACAGGACAACAACGGTTCCAGTTCCAAATCCTTGGACTTTACCAATACATAAAAGCGTGATTCCCAGTCGAAGTGGGTGTCAAAAAGGTATTTACAGCATGCTTTAGGAGAGCTATATTGGCCCTTCATTTCTGCCTTCGTGTTTTAACACCGCAGCTCTAATGGCAACAGACTTCCTTGTAATTCTGAAAAATAATAATGTGGTAATATACTGGGGGAGGGGGGAAAAATGAAGAAATGCTGGGAAAATTAATTCCCCCTTATTACCACTTTTCTCTTTAAGCTTTTGGATTTTCTTTCCTCTCCTTCCTCCCACACAATGCAGCTACAGAACTGCAGAACCAAGGGCGACTGGAACCGTACTGATGGAGTATTTCTGATCAAAATTGATTTGCAGAAACAACTCTGACTAATCAGAAGCATGTAATATGTTTCAAAACGAGCAGAATCAATCACACAACTGACATGAAAAGACAATGAACTGATGACAAGCAATGACGTTCTCTTTGTTGATGGATTTCAATTAAAATGTACCACACGAAAGCCTAAGAGGAAAAAGAGGCTTAGTCGCGCATGCAGTGCCTGCAACCACCCCCAGAGAGAGAGCTGTCACACGAATGAGACAGGGCATGCCATACCCATAAGAGGATATGATTTAAGGGAAATTTAAATTAAATGATGTTTTAAATGGAATTCTTTTAAATGGAATACCTATAGAAAACGTGAGGCCTTTTCCTGCAAATTCTCTTCGTAAATCAGCTACAAATTTCTCTCTTATATGTTCCTTCTGTTTAAAAGAACAAAACCAAACATCAGTTACATGCTGTGTTAATTCATCAGTAAAAAGATAACCCATAAAACCACCCTAAAAAAATCCAAAGGTCTGAGTGCCAGGACTAGTGCGATGTAGCTGTATTTTATTATTCCCGAAAGCATGCTGAGATATTTCCACTGTAATCTGTTACCAACTTTTAAACAATGAGAGCAAAACTTCACATACATGCTGTGATATTTGCTTTTCTATCTGACAATCTTAGAACGCCAAGGAAGCACGCTTCAACTCCCGGTAAAATTCAGTGTTACAAACGGGGAGACTGAGGCATAGGAAGAGTCTCAAAATGGTACTGATCTCCTGATGCCATCTACTCCAGAAAGGGGATTTTCAGAGTGCCTTGGGCTTAGGTATCTTTCAGCATCCATTTACTGAGTCACAGGCAAAGACTGCTCTTGAGGAAACGGATGCAGTTTTTGCACTGGGTCAGAAACAGTTGCTAGGGTGTAGCACGGAACAGAACTCTGATATCATGGCTCAGACTCATTTCAGCCTCGTGCATTTAGCTGTGTACGAAGGAAAATAAATGGTGAATAGTTTGACCTCAGCTTTTAAATTCTGCTTTAAAAGGCTTTACAGAGTTGACAAGAAAAGTAATAGTTTTATTGATTTGAATGGATATGGGCTGGTATCCTAAGGAGCACTCCAGAGAAGTATGGTTTTGTCTGTGACAGGGTTTCTCGGGAGCCCTGTGTGCAGAGGTGCTCTGGACACAGGGTTAAAAGAAACATGAGCCAAACCCAACTCTTCTGCAAGTAAACGCTGTTAACGATTGCAACAAAAAACCCTACTGTCTATTTCCTGAAGTCTGAACTAAGAAGTTAGTTAAACCTCACGGAAAGGATTAAAATGAAAAAAATTGCACAAAGGATAGAAGCTTTTTAAAAATCATAACCTGGCCATAAACTGCCTCTTCCAGAAGAGCTGGATATTTTTCAAGAGTTGGAACTCACTTTATCAAGTTCATAGAACTCAACTCGTTCTTCCTGGCTGCAGCTTCTTCCAATGGGGGACACATTTAACATCCCGTTTCGGAACTCAATAAAAGTGCCCCTGAAAAAGAATTGATTAACGAGACAGAACATAGACGAAAAAAATGCTCAAAATACTAAAGATCATAAAGAACTTTTGTTTAATTCTGAAGACAATGGGAATCAGATGTCTCCCTTCAGCCTCTCATTGTATGCATAAACCCGATGTGTAGGAACCAATCCCTCTGGCGTCAAGGAGTCTTTTGGACTTTTATTTCCACCTGGCAACCTCAACATCATCCTTGGTGACTTTTAAAAGTATGATTTGGTTTTAAAATTTCATACGAGCATCCTGTCAACCCAGTTCTCAGATGCTGACAGGCCAGTCCGTCAGCTTTGGGGTGAAGCGGCAAAACTCAGCGCAGTCTTGGCAGTGTTTCTGGCCAGCCTCCCCTATGGTGTGCATTAACGTCGTGAGCGGCTGCACCCTCACCTGTCACACAACTGATCTTACTGCACGCTTCCAATCTCTGGAAAACATTGTGCTGCTGAATTCCAAACACATCCAGGAAATGCTCCTACTTCCAAACTGAATTTCCACCCCTTTTAAATAAAAACACTCAATCAGTATTTCAAACCCTGTGCTCCAGTTGGGACCTTGTCTTTGTATGTATGGATCGAGCTCTGTTTCATGTATACAGCGTTCCTAAACCACAAATTGTTCATTTTTTGCTGAGCAGCCTGCTTCAGGTATTGATGCTCAACACTCTAACGTGAAGAATACGGCGACGCTGAGATGCCTGCATGCGCTTACCTTTTCTTTGGCAGTTTAATCTTCGCAATATAACTCAGGCAGTAGTTGATTAGATCTTGAAGTATGTCCTCGCCCAGGTGACCCTGAATGTTCTAACAAAATAAATAAATACCATTCGACCAAGGGTCCAGAATGTGAGATTCTAAAAACAGGTCACACGGCCAACACATTGGATAATCAGGCGTGGTTAATACCACAAAGAAACATGCCTTCAATGACTAACTCTCAGTTGATGCACACACGCTACTGACTAAAGGCTCTCATTTTTCTTTTTGTTTACTTTGGTTTTTTAAAACCATAACACCAAACTCTCATTTTATACGCTCCCTACTGGTACTTGCTTCAGAAGGAAACGGTGTGGGCCAAAGGCAGCAGACCTAAACAAAAAGTTGCAGCTAACGTCTGCTGCAGCCAAGCGTGAAGAAACGGAGATCGTTACTGCAGTAAACTGGGAACCACTGCTCAAGTCAGCAATTTCAGCCAGGATCTCTTTTACATTTTTAATCTCCATTACTTATGTTGAACAGACAAAGGTGATGAGGGTATCTAGAATCAGACGTACGTTTATATTAGAGTATTTACCTTCTGTCTTATGCAACATATCAGAATGCGCACTCTGAATTAATGCTACAAAGCAGCTACAAGAGATCTACAAGAAACTTTCTGAACCCTAAGGCCCAACAGACGCCAGCTATGAAACGCCCACCACATTCCACAGCACCTCCAGAGCAGGGGCTTGGCCACGTTTCCTGTGGATAAGCTGAGGGAAAGGCTGCGCCAGGATTTTCAGTGTTATTCGACCAGACACGCCAGACTCCAATTGCTTTTGGTTTTGAGAATACCCCAAAGAATAAAGCTTAAGGTGCAGACTGTCATTACATGATCCAGAGCGCCAAATGAACGATCTGTTGCAGAAGTAACGCGTGAAAATAGCAGCAATTTTGGCCTTGGGCAGAAGGGTGATTATAGAGGACTGCACTGTAGCAACAAAGCAAAATCTTGTTTAGAAAACTTCTCTTTCACGTTACTGGCCATTTCACGCTTACCTGCTTGCTCAAGAATTTCCCATCTTTGTAAGCTACAAGACCGTTTTCTGGAAAAACGTAGTCAAATTTTTCAACCACTACAACCAAACAAAAAAAGACAGTAACTTATAATGTCCCCTGTATGTCTAATGCAGAGTTGTCTTACACATTAAATAGGTTACAATACAGCAAACGTTAGATCATAAAGCATGAACGAGTCGGCAGCATAACATCGAGCACACGATCAAAACCACTCTCATTTCTCTCCAAGACTAACACACACCTCAAATGACATGAAGTCTCTCAGTTAAGTTACCTGTATTTTTGCTTAAAGGCTCCTCCTCTCCTGCAAATACGTCTCTCTGCATTAAACGTAAGGCGGTGACCGAACACCTCAAATATTACAAAACCCTGGCACGCAGCCTGGCTAGAGCGCAAATCGAGTACTACTATTTTGGGTTTGTTTTCTCAATGTTACTAACCTACAGTAGATGTCCAAGAGTTGTGAGAATCTTACTGCAATGGACGATGACGTGGCTTACTGGAGAGCACTTGTAAGCCAAATTCTGACTTATCTGGGCATTACAGAACGCTGTCAGTGCCATCAATTAAGAAAAGACCATTAAAGATGGTCTTTTATACAGAAAAGGAAATGCCTCTCAAAAGACTAAAGCAAGAATCCATCTCTGCATCGTAACCCCCCCAGTTAACGAAATCAGGTCCTTCAGGGATGAGGTAGACACCTGAGCAGCCTGCACACGTATATGCTAGGTACGTAATTCCATTTTAAAAAGACAACGTTAAAATGCCCTCCTAAGGTACTATCACAAAGTCAGGATTTCACGATTAGTAACTACCCCTTAAGAAGATACCGAGATATCTGTAAAATGCAAACGCGGGCTGCAGTTTCCAAATGCCTGCAAATTGCTTTTCACAGACTGAGTGCAACACAACAAAAATAGGAAAAAAGTCTAAAGCAAGGAGGAGAATGAAAAGAGTTTAACCTACACTTAACCTTCACAACTTCCTTGTAAGCAACTGAGTGCGGGGGATTGCGTCAGCCGCTATCCTTACCGTCATCGCCAAGCTGCTCCTTAATCTTTTCGAAGTCTGAACCACCCACAACTCCCACTTTCACCTTCTGACGCAACTTCTGCAGGAACGCGGCCATCTCCGCTGTGATTTTCTAGGTTCCACAATAAAAGGATTAGGTTTGTCAGTATTCTTATCACGAGACCAGCATCTCTATTTCGCAATAACTATTAAAAACCAGCAGTACTGTGCAGAGCTTTAAGGAAAAGGGAGGATTTTTTTTTTTTTTCCTTAAACGACAAATTGAGTTCGCACATCAAGCACCACGGAAGCGGCTGCAGAACCCGGCGTGCCTACACATTCTGTTCCCTAGCAGCCCTTAAACAAACGCCCGTGTCCATCCAGAGCCGCGATGCTCTCGGCGCCAACGCCCGGGCTGACAGCACCCACAAACCCCCTCGGCCCCTCAGGCAGCCCCGCG